ATTCATTCCACAACCGTATGCTCAAGCTGAGAAACAGATTAAAAGAAGACCAGAAAAAAAAAAAAAGACACAGACAAGTTTACTTTCCAAGACCTTCACAAGTCTATGCAATTCACCTTTCCATGAAGATCCCTGTTCACAGCCTTTATGCCTTCTCCAGAAGTCTCTTATTCAACTTCAACACTTCCTCAAGTAATTCATTAGGTCCTTCACTACCAGCATGAGACTTCCTTTGTGTCTCAGCAGCCCTCAACAAATCCTTCCATTTACTCTTGATTTGATCTTTTGAGCGGGAAGACCCCATCAATTCCTTCACTTCTACCCAGCTCAGTTTCCCAACTGATTTTACAGCTTCGACGAGAGATCGAACCTCCTCCAGAGTCCATTTCTTCCGACCAGCTGACTGGTCCTTTGTAACTTCAAGGCCCTCGTCAGTCTTCGGTTCATCATGGATAATCTCCCTCCTCTTATAGAGTGAGGCTTCAAGAGTTGCGAGTTCAGAAATTACCTTCTCAAGGAGTGCTTCATCACCTGCTTCTTCCGCCTGCTTCTTCTGCTCCTTCAACTCTGCCACCCTAGCAGAGGTATTGGTTATCGAGGGATAAGCACTCATTATGTTGACAATGTCCTGCACTTTAGTCTTCTTCTTGGGATCAAATGTCCTTGGTCTGACTGCCCACTCAAGTGCGTACTTGGCAAGTTTCTTCCCCAATTTCTTAGGTTGAGCTTCAGATTCTTCATCCTTTTTCGCATGTTTCTTCTGTACCTCCAACTCTGCAACCCTAGCAGAGGTATTGGTGATGGAGGAAAAAGCACTCATGCGGTCGACAATCATCTGCGCTTTAGCCACCTTCTTCGGATCAAATGTCATTGGTTTGTCTCCCCACTCAAGTGCGAGCTCGGCAAGTTCCTTCCCCAATTCCTTAGGTTGAGCTTTAGGATCAATCTAGAACATTTAAAACAGAAATGACTAATTACAAAGCTTGAGGATGAGCAGCAGCACCATTATCACACAATCATCGCCGGCTTAAACGCGATAATACAGAAGGAATCACGCAAAATACAGAAGGAAATTCTCCAACGGAAGCATGTAGGCAAAGCGCCATTATCTTAGTAGAGACCAGCTTATGCGAGAGAACACAGAAAGAATCCGAGCAAACCAAGCAGACGAGAGCAAAACATACAGAAGGAATCACGCAAAATACATAAGGAAATTCTCGAAAACGGAAGCAAGGCAACGCGCGCCATTATCTTAGCAGAGACCAGCTTATGCGACATAACACAGATAGAATCCGAGCTAAACAAACAGACGTGATCACACTTAGATTAAGAGAGTACCGATTCTATTGCTAGCTAGTAATGCCAGGAACCGAAAGGGGGGAAAAAACGGAAAGCAAACAGAGCATCGATTAGCGATTAGTACAGAAGAAGCAACGAGATTTGTATTCTACACAAAACGAAGCTCACAATGGGGGAGTCCACCGAGCCGGACTCTCTCTACGCTATACATATTCTAATTGACTTACACAGACGAGGAAGAAGAAGAGAAGCAACGGGATCATAATTTGGATACCAGTAGAAGCGAATCCTGTTCGGTGATATCCGATTCCTTCACCTGCTGCGCGTCAACCTATAACAGCAAGTATCGAAGAAAACGAAGTCGGCTCGGGTGGAAATTAAGACAAATAACAAGCACAGAATCAAACCGACTCTTCTACGATATACATATTCTAATCGATTTAGATAGAAAAGGAAGAAGAAGAGAAGCTGCGACGGGATCAGAGTTCGGATACCATAACAAGCGCATCCTGCTCGAGGATCTCCGCTTCCTTCTCCTTCTGCTCGTCAACCTGAAACGGCAATTATCGAACAAAACGAAGTCAGCACGAAAGGAAATTCACACGAAGAACAAGCACAAAATCAAACGGACTCTTCTACGCTATACATATTCTAATCGATTTAGGTAGACGAAGAAGAAGAAGAGAAGCAGCGACGGGAACAGAGTTTGGATACCTGTACAAGCGAATCCTGTTCGAGGATCTCCGATTCCTTCTCCTTCTCGTCAACCTGGAACAACAAGTATGGAATGAAACGAAGTAAGCTCGAAATGAAATTGACACGAAGAACAAGCACAAAATCGATTTAGACAGAGGAGGAAGAAGAAGAAGAGAAGCAGCGACTGGAGCGGAGTTCGGATACCATCACAAGCGAATCCTGCTCGAGGATCTTCGCTTCCTTCTCCTTCTGCGCGTCAACCTGACACAGCAATTAAGGAACGAAACGAAGTCAGCTCGAGAGGAAATTGAAACGAAGAACACAAGCACAAAATCGAACGGACGGAGTTCTCTCCAAGCTAACTACCATGGCGGTGGAGCTCTGAAAGAGATTTCGTCGTCGACTTGGATAGAGAAATTGAGAGTGTTCGAGAGACGGTATTCGAATTTTGAAATGAAATCAAATGGTGACTGAGAAAGGTGATGTTTGGAGGATCCCTGATTTATAAACGCTGGTTGCCTAGGCGAGCCATCGAGACTAGAGTGTGTGAGTTTGTTCGTGGTTACAGAGAAAAACTTGGGTCACGTTGGACTGCTTGGTGCAGCGACCCAATGAAACCATTCCACCTGTCCTATTTTCTCCTGTCAGTAATAATCCCCAACAAAATCTTCTGTGGACCCAATGGAACCGTGCCAGGTGTTTTATTATTCCCGCCAAAATAATTAGTTACTAATTCAGTTAATCAACAATCGAGATTTGGAGAATAGATAAAGGAAAGAATTTGGGCCAGATTGTATGAAGTGGTGACAAGAGGACTTGGGTTGGGACGATAACTAGACAGAGGCCTTGTTCAATGATTGGGCTATAAATGTTGGGCTCGGATGTTTAATTGTGGCCCGAATGGTCTAGCATTCCCGCAGAAATTAAGAGCTACACGTAAATTAAAATGCTCCTACCAAAAATTAAGATAAAGCAAAAACCTTTTTTAATGTTACAAATTTAGAGGATGGTTTTGATGTCATTTTCTTTATTCTCATGTACAACATAAATGTCTATTTAGTGGCTTATAAACTTTTTCATTGACGGTTCGACAATGATTGCCGTCGTGTTAGGTTGAGTGTTGTATTTTGATTATCTATTTTCTTCTATTGTCTATGACAAAAAGGAGTATCATTTTATTTGATTAGACTTTTTCTTGTTGTATATAAATGATTTTTTTGGAGGTCTTCCTTCCTATGAGGATATTTGAAGGGCTGATAAATAAAAGGATCGTTGGAAAAATATTGAATCAAATTGGATTGCTCAATTTAGCTAGAATCATGCGTTGTTAATAAGGACTTGTTTTGGTGGATGGTTTGCATTATAGGATATATTTTTTATTTGTTATGGTCTAATACGGATCACGACTTACTAAACCGTACTGTGGACCCAACCTACTTCATATTTTTTGTGAGCAATCATTATTATAAATCATGTCTCCTCCTTCTTTCACGTACTAGATACCATACTTCACTATAGAGTATAAACGATCGCATTTCATACGACCTTATGATATGTTTAAGACGTCACGGTAGAAGTGGGTGGCTCTGGCATTTTTGTCTTTATTTTTCTATTTGAATTTAGGATATCAAAATCACGAAGGCATGCTTGAATTTAGTTTTCAAAGCAAACACATGTTTTTTTCTCGATGATTGGTTTGGTGGACTAACCAAACTCTTCATTCTTTTACTCAACATGGTCATGCCTCGTCCGACCCATCCTTTACTAGGGTGGTTTGGTCTATATCATATAGTATACAAGTTAGAAACAAGTAGTTACAATTTTATGTTTTCATAGTTGGGGGAAAATGAAAAGTAAGCAACTTTTCTCATTTATGTTGTCGAATTTATGAAATTCAAACACTCCTCATGAAATAATACAGGACTTTTCTATAAAAAAAAAATGAAATTCAAACACAAAACGAAATTGAAAGTGAACCAATTTAAAAATCGCTAATGGGATAGTTTCAGATAACAAACATGGGTCGAGTTTACAGGCTTTTTAAGCCCGTCGTGATTGTGATCAATAGCACTGTGCAAATTAAACATTACTCAATTAAATTGTATGGAGTTTCAAGCAAATCAAGTCTGATACCATATTATAAACCAATTGGTCCCTATAATTAGAATTGCTGAGAGTAAGTTAATTATGAATCCTATGTCATAATAACCAGGAGCGTAGCTAGAATTTTGTTTAAGGTTGCTCCATTTAGAAAAAAATACACATACATTAGTATCATCATGGTTTTGATTTCTGTTAAACTTGAAAATCCAATCAAACACCACTAACACTCTAACTAAGTCAATACCATCAACAACACATATCATCGCCAACTTATGTGTAGACTGTAGCAGTATATTTTTTTTCTTCTTATCTTCATCTTCATTGTCTTTTCTTACTCCATTTTCTGGACTTCCCAGCTGTATATGGATTTGGTTTTTGATTTTTCTGTTTATACTTTATCCAAACCAAACCAAACCAAAACCATTAAATGCCTTATCAATTTCCGGTTAACCAGTAAGACCCTCACCGATTTTTCATTTTTGCAAATTTTCCTGAGAGGGTCTTTTCTTATTTGGGAATTTCGGGAATTTCGGAAATTATGATTGGAGAAGTGCGGGAAAATGCTGCAACTACAAGGCAGTAACGGGCCCCAGTCTTTAAATTCAAAGATCGGGCTTTCCTAACTGTAGCTGTTGGTTGCGGGGACAGGGCCTAATTAAAACGGGCCACGAGCCCAGAGCGGGAGAAACCGATCAAACTAAACCAATGCAACTCAATCACTTGGAGTGTAATGTAATGCTGTTGCTGATCTCTTGTCCTTCCTCCTACGACTAGACTGTTCAGCTAAGGGTTGGCATTTTTCTGCAAACCAACGAACAGCAAAACATAAGTCAGGTGGGAAACAGAATATTAGATGCTAAACCACATCAAGAAATCGAGAGAATAACAACAACACAATCACACTATCTCAGTGTCATCATAACATGCATGGCAACTTGGCAACACATGAGATGAATGAATGTATGTATGCATCTGCTGCTTAATAGGTAGGTTGGTAAGCACATATGCAACGGCAGAGAAGAGAGGCTAGGGGGAAAAAAGACAGAATTACCAATTGTCGAGGGAAGAGTTGTCGTAGTGTTTTTGCTCCGAACCCAACAATCGTAGCTTCCATCGTACGTACATTGCAGGTCATCGTACCTTGGAATAGGAGTAGGCCAGCAAGAGACTCTCGGTTGCAACGCCCTCCAAGTGGGGTCATAGCTTATCAGACTTATTCCAGAGAAGAGCTCAGGGATTCCCATACCCGTCCTCACATTGAAGGAGAAAACACGATCCTCCAAGTATCTCAAGAAGACAATTTCCGATCTCTCCGGATGCAGATCAAGCACAAAGCAGTTCTCAAGTTCATACCGACCCCATAGCAATGATGTCCTATTCAACACCAATTCATGCTGTTTGCTCCACCAATAATAGTCATCATCATTTTTTTCCAGTCTCCAAACGCTGAAGGCATTCCTCAAACCGTAACGCACACCTTCGACTTCCAACAGAACTATGTGCAAACCACCCTGCGAGACCGAAAGATTCCCACTTCCATTGCACAACGGGTTCCACAATGCAGAAGGTACGGGAATAGCATTGGAGCGTAGATCAAGGCGGAAAGGATTATACTCAGCAAGCTCCGAGTGCAAGGATTTGGGATTAAGGTGCATCCAAAACAAGAGCCCGTTCCACCAGACTACATTGCTCCATGGCCTCTGTATGGAGTTCTTAATAAACAACCGCTTCCATTCCCCGGACTCGGAGCAAAACACGTCCAGTACCACATCCAGACCACTTGATAAAAGACGCAACAATCGCAAACGACACTCAGAATAAATAAAGGCTGCTGCAGGTTCTAGTTCTGGTTCTTCTCCTAGCTGATGCACAAGATTATAATTATTACTACTGCTGCTATTAGTACAACGGGGTTGACAAGCTAACACTACCGCAGATCGATCATACCCGTTTTCTGGATTTCTAGGGGCCAAAGGAAGGGCGACCCATTGCTTTGTAAACGGATTGCAGACCAAGTAGGATCTGCCCAATTCGCCAAGATAATAGTTCGAAAACCCGCATAAAAGCAAGTCCTTGAAGCAATCGAAGGCCCTGAAACGCGGTCGAGCTTCATCAGGCACGGGGAGAAAGCTGAGGATGGACAAGGGGTCGTGTGCGGGAACTAACAGAGCTGTTGGTCGATACCTACTCCGGTGATGAGAAATAAAACGGCGATTGAAGCTGGGATCGGACATGAGTGATCTCCACAGCTTGCAGACGCTTTGCAGCGGCAGGAGGATCTAGGGTTTGGGAGGCGAATTAGAATCTCTAAGAGGAGATCGTCTCCCAGTTTGCTGAACAGATTCAGGGGAGGCGGCGGAGAGTTTCCCTCTGTACAGAGCCGGCGCCGTTTTCTGACGGTCGTGGCCATGGAAGTAGATCGACAAACGACCGGATTGAAAGAAAACACGCCGCTGGCGCTACAGAGTTATGCGAGGAAGGAAACCGGAAGAGGAGAATAGGAGAGTGAAAGCGCGCGCGCGGAGTGAAACAGAACACTGGTCCTTTTATACATGCGGTGCGGCTAGCCCTTGACTACCCGAACATCCAACGGTTGTAAATTATTTTGATGATGGGAGGTCATATATTTTTTTTCCTGAAAGGAAAAGGAGTGCAAAGCATTCTTCAGTTTCCCAAGTTACATGTTACAGTTGTACATTAAAATAAAAATAAAAAAGAATCAATCTTTCTCCATTTCTCTTCTTCTGAGCCTGTTTTACTCTTGTGGGAAGCAGCTAATCTGGTTGGTATTCACACTGAGAACCAGTACAACAAAGAAAAAGAAAAGAAGCAACATATAAAGAGAAACAAAAATATTGATAGAAAAACAAATCCATCCCCACCAGTTGCCTTGTCTACCAAGGCACTATCAGGTGGCTGATGGGGCAGTACAAGGAGCCAGTGTGTTAGAAGGGAGGCTGATTCCACCCCCTCTAACAGATATGTTCGAGATCTTGTTTCCGAGGCCACCATTGGTCGCCGCCCGGCTCACGAGGTTCGAGTCGAGGAATAATACGATCACGGTGATGTCGTCGTGGAAATGGCGACGAACCCCACGGTCGATCTTCTTCAAGTCTGAGTACCTCATCTCCCTCTTCTTTGCTGCTTCTTGTAGTGCAGCCTTCACCAGCCTCTTTGCACTCCCCTGCCACCATGAAGAAACAAAGGTAAGTGAACAATCGAATGACTTGCTTTCCAAGAAACCGATCACATAGCAATAACCCTACACTTCCGAAGTGAACTCAATGCTTCAGACAGCCTTCTGAGGAAAGGAATGTTGTTGCGCTTTCGGTATTTCTACCCTCTAATCGAAATTCAAATCGGTCCTAAAACAAGCCAATCATCTATTCATCTTAATATGGTAGATAGATGACCAAGAACACTAGAGACTGCCCCACAACTTTGAACTCATCCACTCAAGACAAAAACCCAAGAAGCAGAATGAGATTGCTCGCAACAAGAAATGAAATTAGTGGCTAGTGAAGATATTGTTCTTACGCTTCGCGGATGATTCTGAACTATATCGACTGCCTCTTGATTGCTGAGGTGCTCCCACAGGCCATCAGATGCGAAAATGACGAATTGATCGACAGGTAGTAGTTTATGTATTGAAATGGAGGGATCAGCACTCAGTATAGGTCTTTTGAATGGTTCCCGAAGCCTAAACTTCGCATATAGAGGCTCCCGGTTGAACTCAGCCTTCTTCAAGTATACATCACCTATGGATCTGGAAATCTGTAAGTTCAGTAACTCCCAACATTAGATGGAGACCTATGATTGATCTAGAGTCTAAGAAGCTAGTGATGAAGCCGACAATAAACCAACTGATTATGACAACCAGAGTTCACAATCAAACCCGCCTAGATCTATCAAGCTCTTAATATCAATTGCTAAGTTCAGCTTTCAACTAACCAGTTATACAAATAAGCCCATGATAGAGCTAGCTTAAGATGTTGGAGCGACATAATATATGGAACTTGAAGTTAAAACACATCAATCTAGGTCTAAAGCCGGAGGAGAGCTTTTTCCCCGAAGTTGAGCATGTCTGGAATAGCAAAAAATGTACTAGCCTACTAGGAAAGGAAAAGGCAGCATATGTTTCGAGAGATCTCCAGCACTTTTCACATTCTACAGAGATAATCTCTGCACTAAGAAGAGAAGACTAAAAGGAGAGAGGGTTTGGTTTATGTAGGCTCACCTGTATAAGACCTTTCACACGCCATACGTTATGCTTTAAAACCACAATATTTGAGTCATCAGGGTGCATAGAAAACAGCTCCTGCCTTACAGACTCATAGCAAGCATTGTGCTCAGCTGACAGCTGAATGGACAAAACTTCACCTGTCGCCTTCACAGCTCGACCCAAAACAGCCCGGGAATCACCAAGGTTAGCTATGTAAAGGTTTTCATTGCAAACAACACCCACCAGGCAGCAAGAACCAACTGCTGCAATCTGTGGCTTCATCGGCCATTGCCTCGTCACAACCGAAAGGAAGCCCTCCTCCGTTGCTTGAAATGCTTTTCGTATTACATCTGCTGACATGGACTGTTGCTCAGAAGTAAACCCTGCAAAAAGCCATCATGACTTCAATTTCTCCACAGAAAGATATCTCATCCAAATACTACTACTCCCAAATATCCATCAACCTCATAGAAACATAGTAAGAAGATACTTACTCTTTAGATGCTGAAAGAGGTGATCATTGACATAGCGAGATGTCTCAGGGCCTCCGTGCCCATCATAAACACCAACAAAAGTACCAAATGGACCAGAATCATGCGAGCTCAGACTTCCTGACTCAAGCTGACTCTGGTCCTCAAGCAAATTGTTGGCCTGCACTACTGCCATAGAGAACTCGCCATTCACATGCTGCCCATGGTCCTTGTACCACAACAGCCCGTCTTGTCGACCACTGGTTTCCGGAGTTGAGTGACCATAATGATCGGAACTCGGCCGAAAACAGGCCCTCAGTAAGCTCATCAGCGCAGATAACATCCCTCATCTCAACCAAACAACCATCCCAATTTTTTTTGGCAAGTCACGACCCTCCAAATCACCAGCATTCAACACAGCACTTGACAGCAGAAATCTCAGTTTCTGAACCCCTACCCGCTTCACCACTCTTCAACCTTCACAGAACAAAACATAAACACCAATAAGCATTTCGAGAATACCCAATTCACAAACAAACAAGGTCCCTCAAAACTTCAGACACGGGGAAAATGTAAAACAAGCACCACAGATATATCAACATGTGAATGCAGCCTAAACTTGGATAACAAGAATTCAACACCATAGACTTAAAACCCTTCCAACTAAACCAGTCAATTGTACAGGATCTAAAGCAGCCGCCTTTTACTTCTGCTGGTTTCAGATGTGAATTTGCAGCAGAACCATCCATAACGGTCCACCTCTACAAGAACTTAGAATCCCAAAGCCGCAAATGATGGAAAAATCAAAAGAGGGGGACCCTTTGTAAGGAGCAAGTAAAGATGAACACGGGAATCGGGTAAACTGGACATGTGTTTGGTCACCACATTCAACAGAGGAAGAGATTGGTTAGTTTCAGGCCATTAAGGGGGGCAAACACAAAAAGTTACAAACTTCCTCCAGAAGGTCCAACCATTCACATTGAAGCCATCAAAAAATCACCTTTAGAAATGACCAAATCCCAACTTAGCAAGAACCAATCAACCACCAAAATTCAACTAAAATTTCAACAAAAGCAAACACCTCCTTTTCCCCCTCATCATGTACCCCAAAGAACTTGCCTCTGAACCAAAATTAATCAATCAATCAAAATTTGACTGAGCTCCCTCTCTCCCTCTCCTCAAAGTCCCTACCTATATTATCACCCAACAGTTGAGAAACAAACTTCATGTGGGGTTCGATGAGATCTGCGGATCCTTCCTCAAGAGGTGAGGGCAGGGGAAAGTTTAACAGAATCACTGAAGGAAGAAACAAAGTGAGGCTTTTCGGGGGATTTCTTCTCCTTTCCCCCACAACTGGGTTTTGCTGTTGAGAAAGCAAGGAGGAGGAAGGAGATGGAATTAGGAACGGGAAGTGAAAAAAAATGGATGTGGTGGGTTTTCGATAAAGGTCAAGTCTTTGTTAAATGAAGAAGAAGGAGATGAAGCCCGTCGCCCCACCCCCTAACTTTCTCTCTCTTCCCTCCTCTCCCCTCTATCTTTTATTTCTTTTTTCTCTTAGCAGACAAGCCCCATAAAAGACCAACAATGGAGAGCTAGGAAGCCAGCAAAGCACAGGTCCAGTTTTGGGCTCCACAATCCCCAACTTCTCTCTCTTTAATACCAGAGTTGCTAGAGAGAGGAAATCCAATGGGAAGATGAAAGAAACCACTAGGAAAGGAGATAGAGAGAGAGAGGGTCAATGAAATTAATGAAGAAAACCCTCCTCCTCTTTGGATAATGATACCACGTACGGGTTAACATTTTTTTTTTCTCTGGGGGTATTCTGTACTAATTTTTTAATTTCGGGGATTTGCATGAAATTTGGAGTTCACGTGAGTCCACGTGGGATGCGCCGGCCACGTGTCGGCTCGTCAAAGTGGGTTTAGCGCGGTCGGAGCCGGTTGGCGGGTATTCTTCGCCGGCGGGGAGAGGGGGCGGCGTTCGGTATTTTTGGCGGGGTGGCGGGTGAACGTTTATGTGTGATGAGCTGGCGGATGGTGATTGGGTGATGGGAATTTTTTTTTGCGTACGTGCACAGGATCTGAATGTGTTCGCAACTCTTTTAAGTCAAAGTCAGAGCGATCCCGATGATCCAACGGCTGTGAGAATTTTGGGAAGACACAAGGAAATTGGAAATGAAAGGTAGAAATGAGCTGTGAATGATCGAACACTGAAACAGCAGAGTATCATAAATATATTTTTTGGGGATCTGTTAAGTACCCAATCGCCGACTTTTCATTACGAATCTCAATCTTTTTCTCTTTTATATATTTTGATCACAAAAATAAATGAATAAATTGTTGTGATAGGATTACATGAGATGGAATTATATGAAAGTTAAGGTTTAAAATCTTATACGTAAGGCGATATGAAAAAGGTCGCCTGACACGTTCAGATGTAGATATGTGGATTCGTAACTAGTTATGTGACTTATGTCTTTGCTAAGAAGATGTCAACATGACTGAAGTACTACCGATGCATGCTAGTGATATCGCCTCGTTCAACTGTCTGAAACAACTAACTCCTTAGCAGATGTAGCGGAAAAATACATGCCTGAAATCCTAATTGGGTTATAAGTTAGCCTGTGACTATCACCAAGACTTTGATCTCACATATTTGTGATTCTTGGGGAAGTACGTCCATGGATTGGCTTTAAAGGAATGGAGAAGCATTTGAGAAAGATATTATATATATTAAGGCCAAGATAAATGATTCTAGGAAAGTACATCCATTTATGATTTTTTTGAATAATAGAAACAAGATTTGGGATATAACCCCTCTTCTGTAGTAATCTGGATTATGAAACTATAATCAAATGAGGTGATTATATAAAACCACAGCATAATCTATCGATTCCACCGAAGTATTCATACTTATTAGCAGCAATAAGCCAATAACTAGTTGGTCTAACTATTTCATAATGGGTAAATGACACATTTGGTCACTGAGATTATTAAATTGTGTCATGTTTAGTCACTAGAAAAAATTATTATCAATTTTGGTCACTCGAATTACCGAAACTGGTCAAATTTAGTCACTCTCCCGTCAGTTTCCGTCCAACTCCATTAATGTAGTTGGACGGAAACTTTTGGGAGAGTGACTAAATGTGACATGTTTCAGTAATCCGAGTGACTAAATGTGACATTTTTCAATAATTCGAGTGACCGGAGTTGGACAGAGGCTACAGAAGAGTGACCAAATGTGACATGTTTCAGTAATTCGAGTGACCAAAATTGATATTAAATTTTTCTAGTGACTAAATATGACACGATTTAGTAATCTCGGTGACCAAATGTGTCATTTACCCATTTCATAATTAACCACCCTTCGTGGTACTTACCGTTTTATCATTGCCACGCTCTTCTTCTTCAATACAATTAACAATCATATCAATTTCAACAATTAGTTTATATTTCTCGATAAGAACAAATATCACATCTCGTGTAACTACACCTATGACTTCTTATCCATTCATTAACTTTGGAACATTTTTTTACGTACCTTATTTTTTCATGCCTTCTTCTACTCCAAATATTGAAAGGATTTGAAAGTACATGATTTTATCCATCTCCAATGCATATGAGATCATTTGAGTTCTAATTTCAAAGGATAAGCACCGAGAAAATCATAGACCATATATGCCACCATTCAAAGGTTAACTAAACCAAAGTGAGGCATATTTCCACCCACAAAAGAAAACATTGATTATTGCAATTGTTGAATTGGTCACATTTTTTTATGAATAATGGACACATTTTTCTATGAATAATGGGCGTAATCAGATAAAGCTAGACAATCAATATAAAAGGAAAAATCAACATCGTCACCATCTACAAACTCAGTCTTCTATCTCAATCTGTTCAATATATATAGCTCGAGAATTTTTTCCCCGCTATTGAGTTGTGATTCTATCAACTTGCAAAGCTATTTTCTTGTTGTTAACTAGGCATTAAACAAGGTCCTAGCTAACACTCACCTTACACATGCATAGCGCCTTCTCGAAACCTCGAGAATAATACCATAGGAGCGGTTCACCGAACTTTGTACATCTACTTATTGCGACCCTAGCTACAAGCAAAACACAGCAACTTAGCTACCCAAGGATCCAATTTGGCTAGAGGTTAGAGGAAGAGGTGGCCTTAAGAATGTATACATACGAAATTGGTATTATTGTCAACTAGAAATAGTTATGTGCATGGAATGGAGGTGCCCCGCGTGACAATTGAACATATGGAGAGGAAGAAAAGGAGACCCACCAACAGTTGTTAACGTTAGGTACAAAATATACATTAAAAAGATAAAACCCACAAACGACCCGTTCACTGTGGACGTAGAGAGCTTTTACTGCTCATTTAGACTCAGTTTTACTGTAGCAACTTAGCGTGGGATCGGGTGTGGGAGGGTGCAGGGTACCATCTGGTTGGGTTTGGATGGCTGGTCGACTTCGGACTACTGATGGGATGTTTCTGGTCGCTCTCTTTGAGTTTCTCTTAGTTTATATTTTTTTTGGGTGAAAATCTCTTCGTTCATTTTGGTGGAGGCTTGGTGCATCCCGCGTTGGTCACATGGACGCTTTTGTGGGGCTCAAGGTTTTTGGATGATTTGTGTGAGAGGACGGAGTTCTGTTAATAAATCCACTGCGGGTGATGGAGATTTCATCTGCTGTTTTTAGAAGGCGGGAGAGGTGACTGGTCGTAATCATCACTCTGTATTGGTCATAGAGACCGTTGAAAGGACAGTGAGAGTGACAGGTATTTTCTTTTTTTCCCCCATTTATTTCTTCTTCTTTTGAGCTGATCGTGAGACAGCGATGAGAGAGGCTGAAGGGACGAGATTTTTTCTGTTGTTCTAGCCTTCTAGGTGATAGTGGACTGTGAGAAAACTGGGGAAGCAAAGATATTTACGTGATTTACTTGGTAGGTTAGAAGCCACGTAGTTCTTTTGTTCTAGGCCATTCATTTAACCTACCCAGTGTGTCCCTGTGTGCATCTATGCTTTCTCTTTTTTGGATGAAACGAGACTCACTAAAGCTTTCCAATTTCTCTCTCAATTGTTGGTCTCCCTCTCTCTGCAGTCGGCTCTCAACAACAATTTTGTATCTCTTCTTCTCTCCTCCTCTCTTTCATCTCAGATCCGTGGTCGTTGCAAGCGACTAGGGGATCGCCGAGGATCCGCCGAATACTAGAATCCATCTCCGACGAAGAGGTTGTATGGGGCTGTGCTCCAGATAGGATGTGGGAAAGATCCTGATCGTCCTTATCTATCGATTTAGGTGATTATTTCTTCTATTTGTCCCTATTGAGTTGTTTTGTTCAGGTTGTTTGGTGGGTTCTAGGATTTGAAATTGGAGATTGTTTGATGGGTTTTACAGATCCAAAACGTGGTTTTGCCACCTCGAAGACGAAAAAGGGTTTTACAGGATGAGGGGCTCACTATCTGCCTGCGCATCCATCTCACTGGTGAGTAAAGCGCCTTAATGGACCTCTGAGTTTTAAAATTTTTTTGGTTCTTTCGCTGTACTATGTTTCTGGCCGTTTAGTTTTGTTTAGCTCTTGGTAATTGTTAGGAATCCTGATTTATTCCTCTATGTATTTCAATAAGGTTTTGCAGCCTAGATTCTAAGAAGAGCCAGATCCACAAATGTTTTCTTCGTTCGATTCAGCTTTGAAGCCTTTTTGCCTCTTCAGAATCGGGGTGGGCTTGAAGGGACCAGCTTGCAGATTAAGAGGTCGAGAAATGGATTGAGAAAGACTCTGTTTTGCAAGGTCTGTTTCTGTGTCTCTTTGATGCATTTCCCTCCCCTCCCCCTCTTAGATGGGTTTGTTCTCCCTTTCTTTCTCTTAACTTAGTGGGGTTGTTTGATCAGGAAGTTGGCCATTGATTTCCAATGAAAAGCAGCAATCCGAAGATATGTGGCTAGGTAATAGATCTACGTTGGATAGGACCCGCAGTGTGGGATGAGATCCACGACAGAGGGAAACCAGTTTTGTTGACTCTGGAGTTTGAGGTGAAAATTTGAAGGTTTTGCTTAATCTTTTTCTTCTGTTGAGTTATGTTGCATCTTTTCTTAACTAATTTCTCTGGGTTCTGTTCTACAGTTCATATCCTATCATCCTGTTCTCGCCTATGAAGTCTTTTAGTGACCCATGTGCTCAGGTAATTCATATACTGATCAAATTCCTGATAAATTGATCACCCAGTAATTGCTAATGTGCCATGTATGCCATGGAATAGAAACTTTTTGAGCCTTTCACAGCTTCAAGATTCTTCCTCTGTTTTCTTTTGAAATTGTGCTAATCTTATGTTTGTACTTTTTTATTCTGAATGCAGATTTTCCAAAATAGCGTTGGCGTGCTATAATACAGGTACTGTATTAATGTTTGGTGAACTGCTATCAAGATTCTCATATATTGGTGTTGGAAATCCAGGGCTTTGCTGGCTATTTTGCTGTCCTTTTACATGGAGGATTTATTAGCATTTCACCGAGAATTTATGGATAATTGGTTGTTTGAAAGTTGAAGGTCCTTAAATATTTACAAGTTCAAGGTTCATTCGATAAGACACGCTCTTTGGTTAATGCAATTCTAATATTATATTTACTTTTTCTCAAATGTGTTATTGAGTCCATATCAATTGCTTGGAGCGTGCAGACAACCATTAGGAAGGAACCCGTTTGTTATGGGTGAGATTTTATCCAATTTTCATTTGTTTAACTTTCCTCCCTTCCATTGATAAATCTCAACTCTCAAGCTTGCAGCATATCATCTATTGACTTTATTGCATAGTTATTTGCAAATTGCAATGTATAGGATGTGTTTTCTATCAATTCGTTACTGTAGATAAAATTGGTGTTGATTTCAAGTCTCTGGTATTTATAGTAGTTTTGGGTATCCTTCCATGATACAAGAGATATGACTATTAGCTTAGGCCCATCTTGATAGTTTTTATAATCTTTCTGACTCTGTTTTTATATGCAGCTGATGTTAGAAGATGGGCTGTGCTCTTAGTGAATGTTCTACTATAACGATTAACGTGTGTGATTGTTTGAATGCCCATTAGTACTTTCCAGGTCTTTCTATTTGCTTGAGCAAGGTTGGATAGCTTTTCATTGTCAACAAGTTCGCTTCGGGTGAACTGATTGTAACTATAAAATTGGTGTACAAATTTTCTATATGTGTATTAAGTCTTTCGGATTGTGTCCCACGTGGTGACTCCTTTATAAAATATACATGGCTTCTTTGTGTTGAACGATTAATATGTTCTCCATTATGTACCATCCAAATATTAAGCTGTAATATGTTACATGCCCTGTTTATGCGTTAATGCAATTATAAAATTGTATAGATCTACTGTATTTGTTGTAGTTCAAATAGTAGATATAGCTGTGGACTTGACTTCATCGAGTATGATCAGTTAATTGGGCATTTAGTAAAGACAATTGTTGCCGTACATTTTATAGTGCTTCTAAGGTGAAACTTACGTCTTCAAAATTTTTAGTGCAAGTAAAATCACAATTAGATACATTTCCCGCGGCGGAGCGCGGGCATTAATACTAGTACATACATAATAATGGATGGAGGTATATGTAAAATAGTAGCTAGTGGGGAAATGTTAGGTCTTGATCAAGAGACAGTCGCAAATGGATCTTGTTGTCTGCTTCTTTATTATCCGTTGCACGCTCTAACACTACTGTTGCGCGATCGATACTCTAGCTAGCTAGCTAGCAGCTGACCCATGTTGATGTAAATTGATGGTCTTACCTTCGACAACGACATTTGTGGACTAGCTAGCTAGCATATACTCATCGTAGATGATCAGCAAGCAAGTTTTGATGATTGGATAGATTGAATTGATCGGCCATCTAAATATAACACTTTTTGATCAAACTCAGTTATTGGTACTTATTAGATCTTCGTTGTGATCGATATATGTTGGAACTGAATTCAATGAATTGTTGACTGGTGATTATAGCTCGTGACACGGGGGATGAGAACAACGTTAAAGTTCATTCGGAGTTTGAAGCTTTGGTATCAACGTTGCTTTTGTGAGCGCTCGATTTGCTCGAGTGGATTGTCAGTTGTTCGTCGTCGATTGAGGAGCTGTTGGGCAATGATCGAGCATATATATTATCGGTTCCTTCTGGAGTTCGAGATGGGTTGTGAGCAATTCTGCACCGTAGGGTTGGTCGGTTGATATCAACATATAGTTCAGAGCAACAGATTGCTGATTTTTTTTTAACAGATCGCGGTTCGGTTTGTGGTTGGATTGTGATATGGGTTAGACGGTAGACTACTAAATTTTCTCTCATTGATCGATTAGGACTGGACTATACGTTAGGATTTGAACTTTAGACCAATAGACTTCTACTAAAAAAATTTCATGGGTGCCTTAACAGAGAAGGGAGAAAATGAGCATGATTGTTCGTTACGCACATTGAAATCGGGGACCTTTAATTCAAATTATATCCGATATCACAATTCACTACCACTGGAGATCATAATCATATTGGCTAGACTTCAACATTTTTCTGATCAATCGAATTAAGGAGAAACTTCTACGTAGACAGTCACCGCTGGTTTCAATACCTTTTATCCCATTCCTTGAGCTTAGACCCCGAAATGGGGCGAGCTCCGAACTCCGACCCTGCTATGGGCAGAGTTCGTTGCAAAGGGGTGGTGATCCTCAGGCGGCGAAGAAAAGTTGCCGCCGCAGACAGTCGCCGGAGATGTGGACCTCCATCTTTCCTCAACTGCTCCCCTGCCCGAAACGTGCGTTGCCAGGGAAAGTGGGGGGATCGCGATCGGTTAACGAATCGGCGATTTGTTCGGGGATGGATAACGGCCAGGGGATATGGGGGATAAACCATATCTCTTCGCGGTTCGGCAACCGTTTATTGAAATTGAAATTATACAGTTTCCCCTCCCACATAGAACTCTTGCAGCAGGAGAAGTCTTCAACTTCCCTCGCCTATTTAACAAGGCTATCCAACCCGACCCCTCTTCATCTTAGCCAACGAGAGGAGGAACAGGGTACTATTAGCTGCAAGAAAGAAGTCTATTCGGGTAAGTGGAAAATCCTGGCTTCGGAAATCTTACTCTGTTTTTGGATGAATGATAGTCCTAACAGAAATTTCTGCTTTACATTCTCGAGCTACCCGTGGGCTCCTAGTAGCAAGGCTTCGGCCATTATTACTTCCCATGAGCTGAACTCTGCTTCTATGTTGCAGCTGGCCACCATGGATCACATTGCTAGGGACCAGGTAGTGGAATTTTCACTCTCGGAGGTTCAGTCCGACAGGATACGCCAGTCCAGAATGCTGCTCGGCCGCCTCTTCACTGAGGATTGGCTGACCACAACTGAACTTCGAGAGGCGATTAACAAGCCTTGGCAAGGCCAGGGGCGAATCAAGGTGAGGGAGGCGGCACATGGCTTGTACGAGTTCGTTCTCCCGTCTGAAGCGGCAAAAAATTGGGTGCTCCAGCGCACTCCTTGGGTTATCAATGACAAAATCCTCCACCTGCGTGCCTGGACACCGAATATAACGGTTCGAACGTTCGAGGAGATGGCAACTGCCCCATTTCGTGTCCAAATGTGGGATGTGCAAGAAGAATGCTGCACTCAACAATTTGGACGAAAAGTGGCGATTTCCACCCTGGGCCGGGTTCTTGAAGCAGGCGTGTTTTCCTGCACAGACACGAACACGACCTTCATCAAGGTCAAAGCACTCCTCGACTTCTCTAAGCCGCTGAGGTCCCAAATCTGGGCAACTAATGAGGAAACGGGATCTTTTTGGATCAGGTTCAAGTATGAACACTTACCCAGCTTCTGCTACAACTGCGGGCGAGTGGGCCATTTTCGCCAAAATTGTAGATATGACCCGCCAGCACGAAAAGAACGTTTTGGTCCGCACATGACGACCAAAAAGATGGGCAGGAAAATGTTTGAAGAAGATGAGCATCACCAGCGGTTTACTGGGCAGCCAAAGTCGGTCTGGATCAATACCAATGCCCGCCAAACTTCTGGACTTGATGGCCGAGAAACTCGTCGCCCAGGGACAATGCCGCGACAGGAGCCTCAACCCACCAAGAATCGGATGGTGGAAAGCAACCCATTGTGGATGGGGTCTTCTGAGAACCCATTCGCTACTACTGAGCAAGCAGAGCACCGGGTGAAATTGGGGAAAAGCCCCATGCGCTTCCCCATCCCGAAAGCCCCGAAAATCCCCCTTGCGAGACCAAATCGTCGGGGGAAAGGGAGATTGACGTCGGGGGGTAGCCCGATGGAGGTCGATGAACGGCAGGAGGTGATCTCCGAGCCGCGAAGACGTGGCAAACATGGCCGTCCCTCGCGGTCCGAGCAGATGAGGGGAGCGGCTGCTGCTGGGAAATCCTGGGTGAACACCGAGGCCCCCTGTGAGGTGCAGCCGCCTTCGGGGCACGCAATCAAGGCGGAATTCAATGTAGGGACCCGCCGACGACGCCTGCTTCTTGAAGAATCAGAGGACGATTTCTATGTTCAACCTATTGTACAAGAAACAGGCCGACCAGCTCCGCAGCAACCGGCTTCAATGGTTCAGACGGCGGGGAAAGCTCTCGGTCGACGAAAGACCTCCAAATTGGAGCTGCAAGGAAAGGGTAGGCTGGGCCGTGAACAACAGGAGCCCCATCGAAAAAATGAGCTGAAGCTTGGGCCGGCCCACAGCCCTTTGGCGGCCCGCGTGGAGCTTCCTGTAGCTCGGA